ATGAATATTTCCTGAGTACTCACTGAGTAACAATACTCAGAAATTGTTAGTAGTACCAATATGAGTACTCATGGACGAATTATGAGTAAAGTCGTACTCATCGTATGAGTACTTTCACTAGGGTAGTGTACAGATTTGGAACAAACGTACCTGGGTCATTTGTAGGCGTTGATAGTGCTTACCGTTCAGAATTATTTGTAGTTGAACCAACACCAGAAATGAATTGAAGTACACTCTAAAAAAAAATGCAACTTAGGATCAAATTAAGTCGCATTAATGTGTCTTATTATCACAGAATAAGGCACATATATGTATACATATGAAGGAATTTTGAATCGAACACTGTGACTTTTACGAAGTCTCGACAAACTTGATATGGACGTCATTGCTCCAGAGGTGGTGTAAAATAGTTTTTTCGAAAAAAAATGTTCATTTTGGGAAAATTTTTTTCTTGTTGCACAGGTAGTATTACTTTTGGTAGGTTTAAAACTTTCTCTAATGAAGTTATCTAGGTCGGACCAAAACCTTTTGATCTAGTCTGGCCAAAAGAAACTTGTCCCGTTGGGTTTGATCAGGTCTAGTGCGATTCGCGGATCGGTTCGTGCGGATCTCTGTCAATAATTAACACAGAAAGTTGAAAATCTTCTCTAAAGCTATCATCAAACAACATTTATGTAAAAAAGTCTAAAAATAAACGAATGAATCGTCATTGAGCTCTATAATTATTTGTAAACCGTACCACTTAAGTTTCCGGGAAGCCTCTATGAATGCAGAAACTCTAGTAACTCAGTAAAAGTAACTTGTTGGATTACCAAAATTGCAGCATAGATGTACTTTGATCTTGTAAATAAGATAGCAGCAATGCTGGTGCAAACTTTTGTCGATAAGTATCCACCAATTTTTGTAAATATCCACAAAAGTTTTTGTCATAAAAATCAATTAAGTAGTGCATTTAATTGAAAATAAAAAATGCGGCAAAACTCAATAACAGTTTGCTATTAAACTCATTTTCTTACCTAGAACAATTTCGATAGGTAGTCCAATTTGTGTCTACAACATGATCAGTGTTGCCGGGAAATTGTTTTATAATTAGAATATTTTTGTAATACCTTAATAAATTTAGTTTTATTCGTAGATCACGAGTCTAGTATTAGATTTGATTTTAAACCGAAAGACAGAAGAATAAAAAAGATATTTTTCTTCTAGAGTTGCTGTTAAAAAGCACAAAATGCTGACGAAGAATAGGAGGAAATATCATTTGGCACCCTTAAATACATCCCCACCACTTATGGATAAACAGTAGGATCCTCCTGCCCACACACAGAAAGTAGAGTGCCCCTTTTCATGCACAGTGGATCAGCCAGGCGGACGGATAGTACACCCGCACCATTCCTCTCGGCCGATTTACTTCACCGGTTCGACAGGCATCTGTGACACTTCTATATCACGTAATTGTTTAGGTGCCTTAATGACTCTTCCTTTCGTTGACCGCAGGTGGTCGTTTATTTAATCACATCAAACGCAAGAATAAATGTCACACACACTTCAACCAAAAACAAAAAAGATCACCACTCCATTACTCTACATACTATATTATATATGATCACATCCCAAAGGAAAGATAAGAGAGAGGAAGAGAAAGAGACAGAGAGAGAGATGCTGAACATGAGAACATCGAAAAAGAAAAGGAGAGAAGAGAGAGGAAGAGAAAGACAGAAACAGATGAAACTATGTAAGTAATGATTATTAGCTGAGTGGTCCTCGTGGTGATTGACAATTGGTCCTTTACAGCATCTACTTCACCTCTCTTATTATTCAGATAGGCAGGTATTTCATCTTTAGACCTGTTAGGTCTTTAGCCAAGTCTATGCTGATAAGCTTTGATTCATCTGTAAGTTATTTATCTAGATATCACCAACTGTTTAACAACGTTTGTTATTTGTCGAGATATTTTGGTATCAGGGTATAAAATAAACTAAAGATATAAAATATATAAATAAAGTATTCTTTGTAGAATTATAGAAAACCGGTACAACGTAAAGCACATCCAAAAAAGAATGAGTAATAAACACGTTACAAAAACGTAACAGCTATTTTAACTATTTTACAGATAAATCATTTTTCTGAGAAATAAAAGACTACATAGCCGTGATAAAAACATGAAGAAAAAAAGTGATGCAAAATAGTAACTTTTACGAAAAAAAGGTCAACAATAAGGCGAGAAATGGGCGATGACCTATCTGTCTATATATATAAAGAAGAAAGTTTGTTTGTTTGTTCTTTATGCATTTGGTCCCAGTAAGAGCCAATACAACCAAACTTTGCATGGCACACCCTTTCGTCCAGGAGAAGGTCAAGACGGGGTCGACGCGACCGAGGGAGGGGTGGAAGGTGCTCTCCCTTCGGTTTTCCAAAAACCGTAGCAAATTTTCTCTGATTTTTCAAAAACTTTGGAAAATTTTCTCCGAGCCGAGCTCTGGTGGGGAGAAGTACATCAGCTTCGAGGAGGATGGCAGTTTCCCGAGCAGCTGAGAGTCCAGAGCAAAGACAAACTTGAGTTGACAAGCAACGTAAAAGACAAGCGGCTTCCAGAGCAGCACGATGGACATGCATAGAAGATGAAGCGTTTCGATACAACCCGATCAACAGATACGACAACTATCCTCAGTTGGATATCGAACGAATGAACAACGTTTGCTTATACTGTGATGCTCTTAAGTGGACTGGAGAAGCACCAGACATGTGCTGCTCCAGTGGTAAGGTGAGCTTATCATCAGTCCAGTCTCCTCCAGAACCACTAGAATCATTGATGTCAGGGACAACGTCCAGGTGGAAGCGTTTTCTCGAAAACATCAGAAAGTACCACTCCTGCTTTCAGATGACCTCTTTTGGCTCGTCAAATGAAGTATGCGAGCCAGATTTCATGCCCACCTTCAAGGCTCAGCGTCAGCTCTACCATCGTGTAGGATTCCTGTTGCCACTTTCGAATGAGAAGCATCAATTCCTTCAAATTTATTTCGCGGGCGACAAACAACAAGAAGGTTGTTCCCGAGCAACGCCGGGTATTCTAGCTAGTCATTATATAAATGAATGGAATGTATAAGATCGATTAGTTGGTTAACAGCTGAGTAACAGTTGAATAAATAGAGAAAAATAATCAAATGTAGGTGTGTTTGAGTATAAGAAAATCTCCAAAGTATCTAGAAGAGAAAAAAATTTTTTTCGTGGTACATACATGGTGGTCCGGCAAAAAACTTCCCCCCCCAAAGTGTTTTTTGACTGTCTTGTCAACTAACGTATTTCAGATGCAGAACTATTTCTAATTTATGAACTGTGGACATTATATAGATGTTCACAGTTTATGAGATAAAAATAGTTCTGCATCTGAAATACATTAGTTGACAAGAAAATCCAAAAACACTAAGGGGATGAGTTTTTAATAGGCCACCCTAATAGACCAAAAGTAACGTAGAAGACACACCGCATCAATTTAAAAAAGAAAAGATTTTGTTTGAACTCTCCACAATGATGGCTTCCAGAAGATTCGGCAAAAAACTGTTTCTGTGAGTCGAAAAAATGCTAAAAGAAATGATTATATCTCCTCATGTACTTGTTTATGTTCCTCTGATGGATTCGTAATTCAGCCGATTTCATTGTGCGTAATATGGTTTTTATACCAACATCTCTCTGCAAACATTTGACATATTCATTAACTGCATTATTTTCTAAAGTTTCAGTTATTTTTTTCATTGTTAGTGTTGCTTTACGTTACACTATTAGCAATTTGAGACATTTTTGCTTTTGCTATTTGTAGTTTATTCATTCAATGCCAACTTTTTGAAACATTTTTATCTTCAACAATTTGTTCATCATCAATTTTAATTTTTTCATTATTTTCTTTATTAATGTTTTGTTTAATTTCTTCAATTCAATTTTTCATTTTTGAAAATTTTTTATCTATTATTTTTAGTTTCAATTAAATAAATAATTGCCACTTGAATTGCAAACATTACTTGTGGATTTTCTTTTAATAAATTCCAACTGTTATTTGCAATTTGACTTCTTGCCAAATGACATTTTTCATATTCAAATATATTGAACCATGAACCATGAACTTCAGCAACTGATTGTTGCTGTTGTTGAAAATGGAATGAGAACAATTTAATTTATTTTATAGGAGTCATGAAAATTAATAATACTGAAGATGGAAACTTCAATGAATAAGAAGATGACTATGAAGATTGTCCAAAATCACGTAAATATATTCACAAATTAAGTTTATAGAATGTTGAAAAAATGAAATCGTTAAAAGAAATAAAGAAATTAATAACTAATGACTTTATTGATAAAAATTTAAATAAAACTGAAGACAATTATATTAATTATAAATATTTAAAATATTTAATTAAAATTTTATGTAAAAAATTAGAAAATAAATTAAATTAATTAAATATAAATGAATATGAAAATTTAATCAGACAATTACAAAATAATCTAAAATGAAATATTTAAATTAACATTTTTTAATAATAATAAAAATGATAAATATTATTTAAATTTAATAGAAAATCTTATTGAAAATGCGATAATACAAAAACAAGATATTTTTTTAAAGATTTTATAAAAAATTGGAAATTATTCATATCCAAAAATAATTAAAAGTGAACAAGAATATATGAAACTTTTAATGAATTTATTATTTATTTAAAATAATTTTTTGAATTTTTGAAACATAAAAAATAATTAGAAAATCTTCTATAAATTTTTGATATTTTAATAATTTTATAAATTCAAAAATTAAATTTAAAAAATTTCTTTTTGAATCTAAAAATTGAATTATTAATTATAATTGTGATTTTGTAAAAAGAAATAAAAGAAATTCTTGAATCAGTACTAATTAATATGATTAATGACAATGATGAAGAATCTGTTGAAGAAATGGATAATGAAAATTGTCAAACAATACGAAATATTATTAAATTTGATATTTTTCAATCAATATTTTCATTAATAAAACGTAATGATCATAATTATTTACAAATAAATGGTGTTTATATAACATTGAGTAATATTAAATTTGAATTAGAAAAATAAATAATTAAATATAATATTGATTCAATTAGGATAATTGTATCACAAATATTATGTGTTGATTGAAATTTAAATGATACAAAATATGGCATAGAAAAAATATATAATTATTTGTGCAAAAAATATTCATATTAAAATTATATCTGAATGAAATGTTTCGGGATTAAATGTTTTACCAATTAAAAAATTGGTAGCTGAAGATAGAATTGAAAATGG